GAGATCTCTAATGACACAAGCAATAAAAGTAAGTTGGAAGAGGAATTCAGACTAGCTCGTTACCAGAAAGCAGTTCTTCCAGCAGCCTGATTAGATGCCTAAGATTATCAGCCATATTCTGTCCATCTGGGAGATAAAGTTATTAATGAGAAATTCTAACTATTCATCAAAAGCAGCTCGTGAACCACCTCCTCAGCTTTTGTCTGCAACAACTCTCGTAGTGTTCCAGATAAACTCTGATCTGATCACAAAAAAAAAGTTGTTACCTAGCTACCTTCTCCAGAGACATATAAGGGTCTTCCACTGAGACTAATTGACAATGGACATTAATTTGGTAAAGGAAACAGAAACAGAAGATTAAAGAAACGTTCTCTGCAGGGAGAGGGGGAGAGCGCCGGCACAGGTGATTACCAAGACGGGGGCACAGTTTAGCTATGGAGGCAGGAACTCAATATGATTCCAAGCATCGTTTTCAAATCACACTTTCATTTGAGGAGGTAATTTGCTGCATTTTTTAAATAACTTGGAAGAGTGAGCACAAATTTACTCCTTTGGGTTTACATGGTTATATATTTACCCATCTGCTAAAGAACAAAAATGCAAATCAAAATATAAGCATTCCATTATTTAATTTATTAAAAGTCTTCAATTACTATGAGTCCATCTTCAAAATCTCTGCCACAAGAGATATATATGGCTTCTTGTGTGGAATGCATGTTCTTTGAATGTGCACGTACAGTGCATACAACAGTCCTTTCAGCTGTTAAGCGTCGGAAATCTAAATGCTGGCAAACTGACAGGGATTGCAGTCATTAAGTCCATTTATGCTAGCTAGAAAAGTCCAATGCTAGCTTGCACTTCAGTGTTCATAGTTTTACAAAATGTTCTCTTCTGGAGTTGAAATTTTCCTGTTCAACCCCCAGCAATGAAGGTTTTCATTTATTTTTAAGTTTGAGCAAAACCTCACCTACCATTTAGCTATGACAAAGTGAAATGAAGCATGCCTCCCCTCTTCTTTGTATAGGCCATTACAGAACCCTGACAGTCCAAAGTGGTGGCCTTCAGACAGGCCTGGCTCTGCCGTGGTCAATGGACCTGTAAGGATTTACACCAGTTGATGGCTACATCAGCTCCTTTGTGTGAAATCACCCTCCATCTATGTAAGGCAAATGGCCCAAGCCAACAGAATGTCAGTCCAAGATGACTGTTCTTTCTCCTTAAAAAAACTTCTGTATTTTTGAAAGTATAGCAGGCACTACAGTATCTCAGCACTGTTACTTCAAGAGGAGCAGGGAAAGTGTCTGGGATGTCTACCAGCCAGTGGGCAAGGGGTGCAGCCTCCTTTACGCAGCCCATACATGGTTATGCTTAAGCTGTAGTTATTTGTCACTGCCAGATTTAAGGGATGCCATTAAAGGCGTATATATGTGTATGTATGTATGTATCCGCCTGGAAAAGTTCCCATAAACTGGAGAATCTCAGTCTCATCTGCTTGTCCCAATAGTATGCCCAAAAAGGACTGAATCTTCATCTACTTACAGACAGGTCATCTGGCTGAAAGGTGTCCCAAAGTCATTTGGTTGTTTGGATTTCTTCTTAATATCACAATTCTGGGAAAAAAGGAGGGCAGTTTTGAAAGCAACAGCTTACATTTAGTGTATCACAAATACTTCAAAAAAGCGAGTTGGAAACTTCAAGAGTGGATTATAAATAGCTCAGTGAGAAATGCTTTACAATACAACCTCACGTTCATTATTGTAATGCAAACATGAAAAAAAAGTGCAATCTGACAAGACAAAAGCTCTGGGACTTCTGCAATATGGAAAATATTTCTATGGAAAGAAAAAAAAATCCTTGTGGTCACAGAAGTTTTTAGTCTAATTGATATGAAGAAAATCAGAAAATAAAAACATCTCAGCATTTTAAAAACTCCCTATTTCTAAGGCAATTTTTGGGGGGGCTTACCACTGACCACCCACGTCTGCAGAAACCAAGCAACCACCCCTCAGACCGCAGTGATCCTTAAATGATGTAGTCACAAGGTATCTCTCCCTTGAAGAACAAGTTATTTTCAAGCCTTCCACTTGCACAGTGTGGTTACTAAAGCTTTGCAGTGAGGACAGGATACACCCACCAAAATTCTGTTCCAGGTAAAAGTGCAGAACTCCTTAAACATCAGCTGAAAGAAACATGCTCCCTCTCCTGTTAATGTCTTTTAATGTCTTCAAGACATTCATATGTTATGTAACATGTTCATAATCTCTAGAATTCAAGTAACTCCTAACATAATTAATGAATCAGTCCAGAAATGGCTTCACATTACAAGATTTGCCCCTCTTCCCTTGGATAATCTCGGTTTAGTATTAAGAAGTTCATGAATAGAGTAAACTTAACACCATCACTCACAGGAAAACACTTAACAATTACATAAATATAGTTACTGGACACATACAAATAAATTATGGAATAAATCCCACCAGTAACTGTCTATCAATGAGAGATATGCTCTGACACATTTATATATAGCAAAAAATAATGTTTTCAGATTGTGGTGCCCCCAGTTTTGATTAGGTTTAAAAGCAAAGT